GTGAGGGGGTTTGTGAGGAGAAAGTTTGGGATTTGGGGGGCTGGAGGTCTGTGAGGGGCTGAGGGTCTCTGAGGAGGGTCCAGGGGTGGTTACTGAGTGGAAAGTGTGGAGTTCAGGGGCTGAGAGGTTGTTAGGGGTCAGTGGGGAGGGGTGTGAGGTGGTTTGTGACGAGAAAGTTTGGGATTTGGGTGGCTGAGGGACTCTGAGGCGGGTCCTGGGGTTTTTAATGAGTGGTAATTGAGGAATATGGGGGAATGTAGGGGTCTGTAAGGAGGGTTTGGGGCTGTTTCTGAAGTGGAAGGGAGGAGTTTTGGGTGCTGAGGGAGTATAGGGGTCTGTGTGGAGGGTCCTGGGGGAAGTTTCTAATGGAAAAGTGCGGGATTTTAGGGCTAAGGGGTTGTAGGGGGCTGTGAGGAGGGGGTCTGGAGTGTTTTATGAGGAGAAAGTTTGATATGTGGGGGGCTGAAAGACTCTGAGGAGGGTCCTGGGGTTGTTAATGAGTGGTAATTGAGGAAAATGGGGGGATGTAGGAGCCTGTGGGGGTCTGTAAGGAGGGTTTGGGGCTGTTTCTGAAGTGGAAGTCAGGGGTTTTGGGTGTTGAGGGAGTACAGGGGTCTGTGTGGAAGATCCTGGGGGGAGGTTTCTAATGGAGAAATGAGAGATTTTAGGGCTGAGAGGTTGTAGGGGGCTGTGAGGAGGGGTCTGGGGTAGGGTTTGTGAGGAGGAAGTTTGGGATGTGGGGGGGCTGAGGGAGCTGGGAAAGGGGTCCGGGGGGATTCTGAGGGGAATATAGGTGAGCTGTTGGGTTGTGGGCAGGGAAATGGGGGCTTGGAGGACTGGAGGGTGTCCTGTGGGATTTGGGGTCTGGGAGAGGTGTGTGGGGTTGGGGGTTATGAAGAGGAAGTGGGTTTTGTGAGGGGAGAGTGGGGAATAGGTGTTTGTGGGGGCTGCGAGGGGGGAGATGAGGAAAGGTTTGGTTGTGGCTGGAGGCTGTTTGGGTGTCTGTGGATCTGAAGGTGAGGCAGAGCCAGGATGCTGTGTGGGGGATATGGGCCAGGAAGCGGGTTGTGGGGAGGAGCTGGGGGCTGCAACAGGAGCGAGGGGCTGGGGTGAGGTGTGGGGTAGCACATAGGGTTGCAGTGCAGGGGCTCGGTGTTGGGGTCTGAGATCCCAGCAAGGCTCAGGGGCTGGCTTGGTTTGGCTGGAAGTGGCACAAGGGGCTGGTTGGAGAGGCTGAGAGGATTGTAGGTTATTATCACCACCTGCCAGCAGCTATAGCTGCATTGTTAAGCATTAACGTCTGGTTGTTTTAGTGTTCACGATTTAAACTTGCAGCCAGAGTCAGGATTTATGAGAAATTACTGAATCTAGGATCCAGCTGGCCACAAACTATTCTCATTTAACGGATCCTGAGGTGATCAGTTCCATTCTCTAAAGCATGATTTTTCCTCACAGTGAAGCAGATGTCCCCATCGATGTGGAGTCGGTGACACCCACGCCAGTGCCGCTCTATGACAACCAGAAGGCACGCAGTGTGATGAACGAGTGTGAGAGGCACGTCATGTTTGCTCGCACGGATGCAGATGCCCCTCCACCCCCAGATGACTGGGAGGAACATGTGAACAGGTAAAGCAGAGCAAATAGGGGTGGGCTGAGGGAAACTGTGGCACCAAACAGCTGTATGTTGCGTAGAAGGGTGTTTTTTCGGTGCTTTGTTATGTATGACTGACATGCCTGAGCTGGGGAATGTTCAAAGAGAATGATTTCTTCATATGGAGATCCCTCCTGTTTGGAGGAGCTCAGGACACTGAGTTAGATGGCACACAGACCCCCAGCTCAGCCATCATGCAGTGCTGTACAGTTTAAAAGAAGAGGATGTGAGCCAACTCCACCATTGCAAACCCTCCCTGTAAGCGTGAACTCTTTGAACTCTTGACATGAGGAGGAATGGTGGTTTGGAGGAGAAAGGAAATAACCTATGCTAAAAAGAGTGATTGTTTTATTTATGGTTTCTGTTGCCTCTGCTTGTGGGGGCTGCTTACCTGCCTTGGGAGTGTGCAGCAGCTGGAAGAACTGAGATGTGTTTCCCTTTGGTTTTCTCCCCAGGACGGGCTGGACGATGGCCCAGAACAAACTATTTAACAAGATTCACAAAGCACTGCAGTCTGACAGGCTGGCTCGTTTGGCCAACGAAGGGGTAGGAGCTCTTATTCCCTGCTGCTCTCCCAGCTTCCAGCAGAGTTGTTGTGTGTGTTTTTATTCAGTCCTCCCTAGCAAAGCGATGAAAGTCTTGGCCTTTGGGTTCTATGGCCTTAAGAAACAGGGAACTCTGGACTTGTCTCAGGCGTGATTTTGTCCTCACTGAGGGGATGTTGGCTCTTGCTTGCTGCCAGAGGACTTGGAGCTGGTCCATTCCTGTGTTTTGGGATGAACAGGGCATGCTTGACTTTTCCTGTAACATTTTTTTTCTCCTTTAATGTCCTGCTTCCTAGGCTTGCAATGAACCAGTTCTAAGGAGGATAGCAGTGGACAAATGTGCTCGGAGAGTCCGCCAAGCACTGGCTAGTGTGAACTGGGACACCAAACTGATCCAGTGGCTTCACACGACCTTAGTGGAAACCCTCAGTTTGCCTGTGCTGGCTGCTTACCTGGATGCTCTGCAAACACTTAAAGGAAAGGTGATGAGAGCAGTGAAAGAGATCTTACTGTTTCTTATGACATTCTCCCTTTATTAAAGCTCGTTAAAAGGAAACCGGTGGAGGCTTTATCCTTTTTCTTTGATGATGTTTAAAAGGCCCTTGTGTGCATTTTCTTAGTCCTTTCCTCCTCTGGTTCCAGATCCCCACTCTGATCGACAGGATGCTGCTCTCCTCCACCACCAAGACGGGAGCAGCAGGCGCTGAGGCTCTGTCTCTGCTGCTGAAGAGACCTTGGGACCCTGCAGTGGGGGTCTTGTCCCATAATAAACCAGTGAGTGCCTCACGGGGACTGAGAAGCCATTTTCACTGCCCAATGTACTCAAATTGTCTTTATTTTTCTTCTGTTGCCTTTGTTCCATCTCCTTCTGGCTTCCTGGGCTCTTTTCCTCTTGGTTTAGACTTGTTCAGTGAGGTGATTCTTCCTGTTGGAGTCATTTCTCCCCCATGCTATCTCAAGGTAGCTTTTTGCTGGGGAAAAGTTTGCACGTTTAATGAGCTATGCAAGGGCCTTCCTGCTTTGTAGTGCGTGCCAGGCTGGACTTTGGGTTTATGAATAACCATTTAAATTCTTCTGTGAATTATCAGGGTTGTGCTGAGTGTGTTACACAGTAGCTCTTCTCACCCTCCCTCCCCCCTAGGGCTGTTTGGATGGGGAGCTGCCCTGCCATATTCCCAAAACAGCAAGTGGTGGAGATTTGGACTGGGAGGTGACTTTTGCTTATGTACCTCTTGTTGAACTTTGCAGAGCAAATTGCCTGGTTCCCCTCTCATCCTGATTGCTTCCTCTGGACCCTCCAACTCCATGTTCCCCACTTCTCGACGGCACCGATTCTGGCAGTCGCAGCTTTCCTGCTTGGGAAAGGTTTGTATGGTTGGTTTAGAAGAGGGAGGGAGAGATTCCCATTAACAGCTGTGGCAGAGTGCAGCTGTTGAGCATGTTTTTATAATCCTGTGGTGCCCCAGAGTACTTGATTCTGCTGAGAACAGGCTGACATCTGCTGTCTGCAGCATTTGGCAGTTAGGGCACACAGTGGGGTGGAGTTGCCAAGTCTGATGCACTCGGCCCCAAACTGAGCTCTATTTTCAGCAATGTAGGTTGTGTCACTTTTATGATGGATTGATGGGTCCTCCAGTAGAAAGAGACTGGAGGAGAGAGGGTGTGGATCACCTCAGATCACAGCTCTCTCACAGCCCTCTACATGTGCTAGGTGTAATGGGTGGATGGGAGCAAAGTGAGCAGCAGAGCTTCTCTGTGGGAATTCTCTATTCTGGGTTTAATAGCTTGAAGCAAATCCTGGGAGAGAGACAGAAAGCCCAAATTCACGTGGAGTTCCAGCCCACACCTGCTGTTGTGCCTTCCTGGTTTATTCCTCTTTAATTTCACCCCACAGGTCATCCCCATTGCCACCCACCTGCTGAACAACGGCAGCGGGGTGGGGGTGTTGCAGTGCCTGGAACACATGATTGGGGCAGTGAGAAGCAAAGTGGCAGAGGTGAGAGCAGCAGTGCCCTGCTGTGCGGCCCAAAGGCATCACCTCATTGCCTGTCCCCCTCTGCTGATGGCCTTTTTCATCCCTTAGATTCACAACCACTTCTCTCACAAGCCCATCATCCTGATTGGGTGGAACACGGGTGCCTTGGTGGCCTGTCATGTAAGTACCTGTTACAAGGAAGCCCTTTGACAGCTTTTCTTCAGAGTTAGATAAAAATGACCATTGTGTTTAAGGCTCTGCTGTATGTTTCTGTTCCCTTTTCTCTTGCTGAGACTCATCCCTTCTAATCCGGAGGGCATAAGGACTTTGATTTCCCTTGTGTTTTTTCCCCAAACCCATTTGTTCAACGAATGAAAGTCTAAATAGACACAGTGTTTCTGAACCCAGTGAAGCATCCTTCACAGCAATGGTGTGTCGGACTGTTGGGATGCTGACTCTTGCTTTTTTTTATACCCAGGTTTCAGTGATGGAGTACGTCACTGCAGTTGTGTGCCTTGGATTCCCTCTTCTAACAGTTGATGGCCCCCGAGGGGTAAGAACCAACAGGGCAGGGGGCCATTTAATTAACTGTATTTTATTCTTTAACTTCCAGCTGTTTCTTAGAGCCTGGTTTGGAAGTCTAGAAACAACTGGGAGGTTTTTGAGGAATGTCTGAGATGTTTTTGTTTGGAGGAGGTGTTGCACCTGTCCTGGGTTTCCTCACTTGACCTGGTTTTGCAGCTCCTCCTAGGGCCCTTAAATGTGTGTTGCTTGTGCTTGTGTGTCCAGAGAGCATCCCAGCACAGCTCATCTGAACCAGTTTCCCATTCTCTTGCAGGATGTTGACGACCCCCTCCTGGAGATGAAGACCCCTGTGCTCTTTGTCATTGGTCAGAACTCCCTGCAGTGCAACATTGAAGCAATGGAAGATTTCCGGGAGAAGATCCGAGCTGATAACAGCATGGTGGTGGTGGGGGGAGCAGATGACAATCTCAGGTGCTGTGCTGTGAGATCCTTCCTTCCCACATGGGCAGAATCTGAGTGTGCTGCATACAGAAAGAAATACATATCAAAAAATGTGGTCCTGATGCACTCTCAGGGTCAGCAGTCTTTTTCAAAAGCTGATAGTGGGTTGTTTAGTTAGTTTTTCTGTGATAAATTTACCTTGTTTCTGCCAGTAGTAAGTAGAAGATCCAGGGTACAGCATGGGAGAGCAGGCATTTGCTTGTATTTTTTTCCACCTTGGCTCTGGAATGTGTAGCTTATGGAGACTGTGTCCAGGACTGGGGTAAGGGAGGCTGTCAGAGCCTTGCAGGAAGCACAAAAGGTTTCAATACGCTTTGGAGCTTGTTCTCCAGTCACACTTGTGTGTCTGGAATAACAGCACCAAAAACTGGAGCAGGTTGTGTGCGTGAGAATGGGGGGAGCCTGGTGTTAACACAAAATTCTGGAGCATTGTGTAAGTCAGAAATCTGTAGTGGGAATGCTTAGGAGAGAAAGAAGTGTCAACCTGTGACACAGATGAAGCTCTGAAGGGAAGGAAATGCCATATTTACTTTACAAAAGGCTTTGGTTGTGAACTCAGCCATGCTGGGCTCGTGTTAGCAAAGCTTTCAGCATTTTTGAGGGACAGACCTCATCTTTCCAGCAGGCGGTGCTCTTGAGTTGAGCACTGATGGAACCGATTCATACCTCGCTCTCTAGGATCTGTGCAAGGGATTAAACCTGCTGTCGTGTGAATTTTACTCTCGAGTGAAAAATGATGCAGTGGGCACAGAAGGGGAAAAGCAAATGTTTGCTGACTTTGATCTTTTTAAATTTATTTTTTTATTATTCCACAGGATAAGTAAAGCCAAAAAGAAGTCAGAAGGCCTGACCCAGAGCATGGTGGACAGGTGCATCCAGGTAAAGGCAGAAATCTTCCTTCTGTACTATGTACCTACTGAAAAAACATGCTGAAATGGCTCAGTGACCACAGGTGATAACCTGGCTGCCAGTACAGGTTGAACAAAGTAATCTCTTTCTTAAGAGATGCTTTGAAGTGGTTGTGCCCTTGCAGGAGGAGAGCAGTAAGCTTCCTGTGTGACTGCTTTAAACAAAGCTCAGTTTTCTGCATCTTCCAGCACACCTGCCTGGGGGAGCAAACAATACTTTGGGAGAAACCATCATGTTTCCCTTCCATCTGCCAGAATTCAGTGCAGTATGAGGTTTGAAGAGAAAGCTGAGGTCCATCTACAAGATTTCAGGGGTTTTAAATCTAGAGAGCCCTGTCACTTTGCTTCTTTGGGAATCTTAAATCTAGAGAGCCCTGTCATTTGCTTCTTTGGGAATCCTGAGTTCTTTTTTTCTTAAAGCTGTGAAGATGAATTATTTTTAGAGAGTTTTGCACCATGCAACCTAACTATTTGTTTCGTCTTGCTTAGGATGAGATAGCTGACTTCCTGACTGGCATCCTCACTCGAGCAGAGAGCCACTTGGGCTCTGATCCCCGTGACCTGGATGCTGAGAAGAAGAAGAAGCCACGGGATTCGACCAGGAGGGATCTGTCATTTGATTTGCCAGAAAGAACCAGCAGGCCTGCCTCACCAGCATCCAGAGTGCCTGCCTCGCCCTCAGGCTCTGAGGTAGGGCATCCTGCAGGGCATGGAGGGCTGAGGTTGTGTGAGGAGATGGTTTTGTGCAGTTGGAATGTGCAGTGAGAGATGCTAAGCATTGGGAGAAGGGCAAGAGGATGTGAAAGGATGAATGGCTCACAATTGGGTGAACAAACCTTGAGAGTTCTGTTTTTTTTCAGCAGAGGGTCACGTGTTCTGTGCATGCTTAAGGTTATAACTGCCTCTGCTCAGGAAATGTGGGATAAGAGGTGTTTCTTGTCTTATCCAGGACCTATCCAGTGTCTCCAGCAGCCCCACTTCAAGCCCCAAGACTAAAATGGCTGCTGTGTCCTCCATCCAGAAGCCCACCCCCATCAGCACCGCACAGCTGCTCAAGAGGCAGGTGCAGAGGACAGACACAATCCTGACACACAAGCAGGCCCAAGGTAACAGCTGGTGGCTTTCTTACCTTTTTCACATCTGGATTTTTGCTCTTTTCCCTGAGTTCTTTAGGTTTTATCTTCTGAGTGCTTTCTTGAATCCTTCCTGTGGCCTTGCTCTGCAGCTCAGTTCCCTGTTATTGCCATTGGAATGCAGCAGCTTGTTTGGAGGTGAAATTAGGTTGGAAGTGGTGCTTGTGCAGCTTGCAGAGTCTTGTTGCTGTTCCGAGTGGGAAGGATTTTCACCTGTTATAGCTGAGCAAACCACCACATAGCCATGCTCTCAATCTCTTTTGTGTGTGAGCCCCTTTACTGATATCTTATATCCCCAAGACTGCTTGGGAGGGGGATTAAAGGTACTCAGGTGATGATTAAGGATGTTGAATTCTGACTGAAACAGTGGGGCTTTGGTAACTGGAGTCATCTTGTATCAAACACAGAGGAAAAGCTGATCTGAGCTGTGAGGTTTTTGTCCTGTTGGATGGATGCTGATTAAAAACCTGATTGTCCAGCTTCAGTGTGACTGTAAGAGCTGTGAATGTAGGTAATGGTTTTGTTGGCGGTGTGATCATTTGTGGCAAGACTCAGCAGTAGGTGGGAAATAGTCCTTCATCTTCCCTTCTGTGCTCATTTGTTTGCTGGAGATGGCTCTAAACAGGCTGCTTGTTGTCTGCTGCTGTGTGACCCTGCACGCTCTGAAGTCAGGATAGGATCCAGAGGGAAAGTTAGGCTTCCATCTCTCTCGTTTCTCAAGGCATGAGCTAAAGCAATCTGCTGCTTTGTTGTTGTAGTTGAGGAAGTTTCTAGGTAGCACACGGAAGGCAGGAGGAGGGTTTGTGTGGCTTCTAGTGCGTGTTCCTTGGCAGTAGGTGATCAGGGATGAGGTGGTGGCCATGCCCAGAGCTGTTTGTCTGCCTGCCTGCTCCCAGGTTTCTGTGGGTCACAGCGGTGTCCCTGCAGCTTGCTGCCCCTTCAGAGCCAGGCTGTGATACTGTAATTCTCTCTGATTCATTTCAGCTCAGTTTGCTGCTTTTCTGAAACAAAACATGCTGGTGAGGAAAGCTCTTCCTCCTGGCACCTCTTCATGTCTCTTTGGTGAGTATCTCCTCACTTCCACTGTCTCTCTTTCCACCTCCCTCTCTCTCTTTCTGCTACCTCCTTTTGACATCTTCCTCTTCCCTTGCACTGGTTTGGGGCACAATCCAATGTTTCCCTTTGTCCCCTTGCTTTTTGCTTTCTCATTGCTGCCTTTGAAGCTTAAACAAACGGCTTGCGTGCGAACTGAGAGCATTAACACCTCCTGAGCTTTTCCCTTTTCCTGCTGCACAGGTAAATACTGGTGTAAACTGGCAGCAGTCGTGCTCTGCTGGACAGTGGGTGACTTGTATCATGAGCTTAACTCCTTCCTGTGCTGAGGTCAGGCTGCATGTTGGTGGAGAGTCCTTACTGTGTAGTGCAGCAAAGCGGCTGCAAGTGAATGTGGAAATGAAGAGCTGCCATGTGGCACAGGAGGGGCAGCTGTGGACTCACAGAACAGAATTTCTTGGCCAGAAAATCAGTGAAGAGCAAAGAAGGCAAAGAGAGGGATAGCCTTGGGGTGACTGGTGGGAGCTGGCTCCATGGGGTTGTCCTGACATGGAGACACATGGAGGGGAGCTGTGTTTAACCTAGAGGTTTGGGAGGCTGCACTTTCAGGAGAGGTGTCAGCTCTCAGCTCAGGTGACCCCAGGAAGCTGAGAGCATTGACATAGGTGACAACTACTGAGCTGCAATGCTCCAAACTGTTAACTTTCCATGCTTTTAACTTTCCGAGGCAAACCCTGGGTGCAGCATAATCTGTGGTATTTTTGATGTGCTGAGCACACACAGGATATGGTCCACACTGCACATACAACCCCAGAAGCATTACTGAGGCCCAGTATTGGACCAAGCTGGTTGTCTTACAGATCACCTTCTCTCTTGAGCCTTGTTTGAAAGTAACATTGTGGTCACTCTGTGAACTGTGCACTTAACCCAGCATCAGATGGCAATGGAAACTGCTGACCTGTGCATGTGCCTTTTCACTGTCCTGCTTGGCTGGTGGCACGTGGGGGGCTTTGGTGCACACCTGGTGAGGTCTCCAAAGGGCGATTTGAACCAAGCATGTTTGTAGTTGAGTGAGAGACTGTATTTTAGCTTCCAGGCTTTTGTCTTAGTTACAGGGACTTGCAAACAGGGAGTTAGGTGGCTTGCAGCACTCTGGATGAAGAGGGTTCTCTGGAGCTTTCCCCCTGTTGCTGCAGATTGCAGCCAGCACCACAGCAGGAGGCAGATGGCCATCCGTCAGTGATGGGATGCACAGAGAATGAGTGGGATGTGGCATTTTGTGACTGCACCTTGGCCCTGTGCTGCCCAGAGGTGCTTGTTATGCACTTTCTGGTTAATCCTTTCCCCAGCAAGTTTATGCTGGAGGCAGAACGAAGTGGATGTGATGGGTCAAGGATCTAACAGCAAAACGAGCAGTTGGTGTGGAAGAGAAATCTCAGCTTGCTGCTTTTCTCCCCAGTACCAAGCAGTGCAGGGCTTGGCTTCGCTGCAGCACCTCCTGTGCTCCTGCCTGCTTTGTGGCCACCTCTGTGCTTCTGTCCATTTCTCAGAGGGCTGGAAGGGATGTGCTGAGTGACAGGCACACAGATAGCTTGGCAGGTATGTTGGAGGAGCAGGGAGACTGAGTTCTGATCCCAGCACGCCTGCACAGCTCTGCACCTGCATTCTCCTCATCAGGAAATGATGCCAGGATTGGGTGTAACGTACTTGGAAATGAAAAGTGTTTCTGCAAAGATGTTGTTGCTGTAGGCATCCATTTTTTCTGTGCTGCAGAGATCAGGGCAGACTTCCTATGCTGTCTTGCCTTAGCCTTTGAGTGGCTTAAGCTAAGTTCTGCCCTAAGGCTGCAGCTCAGGGCATGCAGAAGTCAGTGTAGGTGGTGAAAAGGAGAAGCGAGAGCTCCTGGTGCATGGGAGATGGGCAAGGCTGGCATGAAAGGAGCTGCAGAAGTATGCATGGGCATGTGACCCTTCTCCACACCTTGGTGCGCACAGCTGAGCTGCACCAACCTCGAGGAATCGGCCGTTTCAAAAAGCTCCTTCTGTGTCCCCCAGTTCCAGTCTCCTCAGAGCACTCAGAAGGGGCTGAGAAAGATGATGTGCGCGTGCAGCTGAAGAGGCATCAGACCCCCAGCCCGACCCAGTGCAGCAAAACTTCCAAACGAGCCAAAATCAAGGTGACCATTGTCTCTCACGGAGATGCTGCTGGCGTGGGGAACGGAGCACCCCTCAGTACCCAGGCAGAAAGTGAGTTGCCATGGCATAGCTGCTTGTAAACCAGAGTGCTGCTGTGGCTGTGCCCACATGGGCTCCTCTGGGGCATGGGGAGGGGAGGGGAGCTGTGCTTTTGCTTTTTTTTTTTCTTTTTGAGGTGGTAGCTGCAGAAAACAGACAGCAGTTCAAAGACACGAGTGGCACGGTGCTGTTGGGGATAGCTGGGGGCACGTGGGGACTGGATTTATGTAGTCAGAACTTGACAGGTGCCTCCATTTTTCAAAGCAGTGTGGATTGCACACTTCAGTGGTGTGTTTGGTGCAGTCTTGTGAGGTGGATTTCATACCTTCTCTGAAGCATCAGGCTGCTGCTGGAGGCAGGATGCTGGTCGTGGTGAACACTTGCTCCAAGTAGGTTGTGTGGGTCTCTGGTTCTGCTGCCTGCTGGTGGCCCCTGAGCCAAGCTCTACCCTGGAATGTGCTCCTGCTTTGTGGAGAAAGGTGATGTTCCTCCCTCTGGAAGACCTTTGTTCAGGCTCCACAATTCAGTTCTGCTGACCCTGCTCAGGCTGTGCTGCCATCTGAGGTCGGTACAACAAACCCTTGGTACGTGTGTTAGCAAATCCCAGCTCTTCTCCTGGGAAAGCCTGCTGTGACAAGCATTGCAGAGGTTCTTTCTATCCCTGAAGAGGTGATGTGCTTGGTCTGCTTTCCCTTCAGCCTTTGTGAGGGAGGCCAGAAGTTTCAGCTGCTCTCACTGCTGTACTTGAAGGACATTATCTTGCTGCTGCCTCATCTCAGAGCCCCAGGTGCATGAAGCAGTTGCTCATTATTAGCATTAGGTTGGTGCAGTGCAGGGCTGAGGGGTCAGCATCTCTGTTCCAATTATTAGGAAGTCAGGTTTTAAAAGCAGAGAAACAAACCTAATCCTTCTGAAGCGTTTCTTGGGTAATGGTTGTTTTCAGCTGTGAGAATTAACTAATAAATACGCATCCTTTCTCAGGGTTGCAGCTCATCTTCTGGCAGCTTTGAAGATCTCTGGTTTCTGGCTTTTTATTTTTTTATTTTTTTTTTATTTTTTAATTTTCCCAACTTTACTTCTTTTCACAGAAAGGAAATGAATTGCAGAAGTAAACATGAACCAAACAAGATTTCCCTCTTACCGTGTGTGAGCAGGAGGAAGCACCAGACACACGCACTTGTATCCCAAAGGCTGCAATAAACCAACATTGTGACACAATAAACAAATACCGTGACTCCTGGCATCCCTGTGTATTTTGTGTCTGTAAAGAATGCTTACAGAATGGAGCAGGCAGACCTTAGCTCACCAGTCGAGGTGGTAGAGCTGTGCTGCGAGGCCTGTAAGGAGGGGATGAGTGGTGATGGCACTTAGGAGAGAGAATTGCAGTTGTTGGTGAGGCCTGAGTGCTTTGAAGCCGATTCCTTTGGTCCTGTGTGCTGTAACACTTGGACAGCGACAGCCTTCTTGTTTTAATTTGTAACTCTACTCTCTTTGATGCTCCTGATGTTGTTGTGTGGTGGCTCGAGAGGGTGTTTATGGCTGCAGCAGAGGTTTCTTTGAGAAGAAGCTTTGCAAGCAGGATGAGCCCACGGCCTGCAGCGCTGGGCTGTTCTGTGGGAGCAGAGGAATCCCTCGAGGCTTGCAGAGGACAGAGAGTTAGGTGTTTTCTTTTTCTTTTGCAGTTGTCGCAGGAAAGCCGTTCCCCATGGCAGTCAGCCAGTCTGTGTCGGGTGGGAAGGAGCCCTTCGGACTGCTCGCCACCTCCAAGTGAGTGCATCTTTCACTCTGTAAGCTGGGGGCTGCTCTGACAGGCTGCTGATGCTAAGCACCACAGCACAGTGATTTCTGCCTGTGGAGCTGCCTATCATCTCTCTTTCTGATGTATGGGGGACTCTTAGGTTCCTGAAAACTACTTGTGGGCTGATGATCCAGTCTACAAGTGATGGGAATGGGCAGAAGGTATTGGGCCCTATTTCTGTATAGCTTTCCAAACCAAGCTTGCTTTAGAACTGCTTATCTTTGTTTTTTGAATTACTGTGTTGTTGTCCCTGCCAAAAATGTAGTGCTGTCTTTATTCTTTCCCTTCATTCTCTGATGGGAAAGCATTTTTTTCCAAAGATAAAAAATTCTCAGTATTGGCTTGAAAGTAACTGGCCACAGGGATTTCTTCTGGGCAATGAATCTGGTGTTGACAGTCTCTCACATCACTGTTTTCCCTTTTAATTCAAACCGTGCTTTGGAGAACTGGACCCTGACTGATCTGGGAGGGGAGAGGAAGAAGATCTGTTCTCAAATAGAAAGTAGGTTTTAAATGGGAAATGTTTCACTTCGAGGTAATTTGCTTCTGTGTAGGGTGGCAGCACCTAGGCAGGCACACGCACATTACAGGATCACTTCTGATTTGAAAATGCAGTGTTATCACTCCTTGCTCTAGCTGCTGTGGCAGACACAGGGGAGCTTCTCTCGTTTTGGGTTTTTTATCTCATCACCTCCTTATTCTGTGTGTTATAACAGTGTGCTGACAAAGCTATCTTGCATTGCCACGTATAGTTTATCACCAAGAAACATCTTTTTCTTCTTCTTTTTTTGCAGGCTGGGCTCAGCAGCAGAAAGCTCAGTGAGTCCTGCTTCATCTGCCACCATCCCCAGCAGCACGACGCCCAGTGCTTTCCATGCCCTGCAGAGCAGGCTGGTGGCCAGCAGCACCCACTGCATGCAGGCCCAGCCAGCCAGTGCCCTCCAAGGTACCTGCCTCTCTCCATTCCTTTATTGTAAATGGAAAAGGTAAAACTTTAAGTCTCGAGATGCCAAAAGTTCCTTCCTCTCAGGCAGGAGCAGTATCTTGCCTCCCGTGTTTCACAGATAACTTGTTTAGCTCCCAGCAAGGTTGGGCTGTATGTTGTAGTGTGGCTAGGATGATCCCCACCAACCTTGAGGCTGGCTGCTTGGGACCCTCCTCTTTAAAGAACAATTTACTGTCCAGTAGACCTGGGATTTTATGGTGCTTAATCCTCCAAACCTGATTTCTTTGTACTTTGTTTTATTTTTTCCTTTGTAAGGAGCAGCTTCTGCTAGCAGCCTGCTGCAAGGGCTGAGCTTCAGCCTGCAAGACATTGGGACAAAGTCATCTGCCCTTCCTGCCAGCGTGGCTGCAGCTGGGACACCAGTGCAAGTATGCAGCCTGCAAATGTTACTTTCTGAAGGGAAGCTGTATGGAGGGTGAAGTGGTAGAAGCTGGAGGGAACCTAAAAAAGCCAGTGTCTGTCCCAGGAACAGATGAGCGGTGCTAGGCGTGAACTGCAGCTAACAAATGTGTGAGGTTTGGCTGTGTGCTGGGGGTAAGGGTTCCTGTAAGTGGTGTGGGTTCTAGGAAACTGGGCTGTGGGAAATTTTACTCAAAACCAGGCTTTGCAGCTTCTAGAAAATACTGAGAAGAGTTTGCAGAATGGACTGAGGGAGATTAGTAATCTTTCTAATTATTTTCCTTCTGGGAAAATTCACATCTGTGGTTCTGTTAGGCAATGCTCCCCAACTTTTCAGTTTGAGGAGGCCCCGTTCAGACCAGGAGGCTCATTAGAAGTGTAGCCACCATTTCTAGTCGTGTTTTAAGTTGCAGTGAGTGTATGCAGGTGGGAAGGGACAGCTTCACTTGTATTTAGACCTGCTTGTGGCCACCAGAATGACATGTGGAAACTCTCCATCTGCCCTCTTGTTGCTGTGAGAGGGAGAAGCTGTGCCACCCCAGCAACCTGATTCCTTCCAAGTACTCAGTGCTTCTGCTTTTCCTTCCAGACCTCAGCTGTGAAGACATCCACACCCATCCAGAACCTGAGTGCCATCACCACAGGCACTGGCACCATAGTCCGCACCATCCCAGTTGCCACCTCTTTATCGGTGGGAGCTGCAGCGAGTGGGAAGCCCACAGCCATTCACCAGCTGCTGACGAATGGAGGACTGGCAAAGCTGGCCAGCAGCCTCCCTGGCTTGGCTCAGATCTCCAACCAGGCAGCAGGTGAGTCCAGCATGCAATGCAGGTGCCCAGAGCACCCCATCATCCCCTAAAACTGCTGTTTCAAAGCTTATTTCACCTTCTTATAGCTGGAGCTGTGAAAAAGTGCTTCTGATAGCAATTTGTGAGCAGCTGGAGACTTGTGCTGCAGCCCCAGCTGTTGAACGTGGCCTCTGCAGTTGCTGTGTCTCAAGGATGTTGTTTTTGCATGTTTTCCTAGGCCTGAAGGCCCCCACGACCATTACTGTGACACTGCGTGGGCAGCCCAGCCGTGTGACAACGCTTAGCCAGGCTGCAATGGGGACTGTGCAGCCCCAGGTGGAGGAGCAGCCGATGCAGACACAGGCACCACAGGTAATCCTTGGCACCTTCTGTGTAAAGAAAGCATCCAGTGCTGCGGTGAGGGCAGAAGCAGCTGCCTTGGGGAAAGTGTTCTTGTTCACTACATTTCTTTTGGGTGTGATGAGCTCGTTGCTTTGCTGAGGCTGTGCAGATGTGGTGATTAGAGAACCCAGGTTAACTTCACATCTTCTAGCAGCAGGGTCTTTTCCTATGGAGAGATTGTGTGCTAGTACTGCACCAAGGAAACCTCTGGATTTGTATAGTCTGGATTTGTAATGCTGACATCAGTAAGGAAACTCTTACTGAAGCTTTGGGCTTTCTTGGCAGTGACAGGACTTGGTGGGAGGAGGAAAGCTGCTTCTGGTGTGTATTCCCTGTCTGTTCAGGCAGGAGAAAGGGCTGACTGCACTGTCTGGCGTTGTCTCCCTCTTGGAAATGCTGTTTCTGACTGTTAGGTGCCCTGATGTAATGCTGGGCCCTCTGGATGTTGGGTTACCATGCTTTTTCCTAACGCAGGTCCCCAATTTCTGCTTTGTTTCTCTGCCATACTGTTAAAACCCATTTATAAAGCACTGAGTGTGTGCTCCAAAGTCCATCTGCTCCCAGCTGATCTCCTTGTAGAGATGGATCGCTGACGAAAGAAGTGCTCTTGCTGTTCTTACACTAAAGGTTGCTAGGTACTGTCTCAAAAGGATCCTGGCTGCTTCCCAGGATAAGTCTTGGTGGAGCTGAACCGAGAGAAGTTGCAGAGAGTTGTTTTGTTGCTGTGGTGAAGGTCTTGAGTATTATAACATCAGTCTCTTCACCCCAATACCTGGGGTGCATTTGCTGCAGATTTGCTTTTGTGCTGTGTCCTAAATCAGTCCTAAAGCAGTTTTGAGATGGATCTGTAAGTGTGAGGGTAGGAAGATCAGTTCTGATTCCCTATGCGGGATGTTGGGTTGGTGCTGTCCCCAACTCCGAATGGCTTCCTCCTGACCACAGCTCCAGTACTGTGCAGCACTCAGGTGTCTCTTAAAAGTGTTCTCCTGGGTGGTGGGGAGTAGGAGGAAGCAGGCAACGCTGTGATCTGCCCTAGGGGACTGAAGGAGGTTAAATGAGGGCTGCTGGTTGCCTGGGGATGAGTGCTGTGCTAAGTGGTACCTGCCTGGTTCTGCCTTATAGTCACAGAATCATCCCAGGTTGGAAGTGGCCCATCAGGATCAAGTCCAACCCCTGGCTCCTAACAGACAACCCAAATGTAGGGATGAAACTGACTGTCCTGTAGATGGTGACTAGTGATTTGCAGAGAAAAAGGAGTTTAAAAAACAAGCAGATAAACTCCCACAGCTCTGAATGCTGCATCTTGGGCAGTCAGATGAGCATGGGGCATCCTGTGGGGGTCAAGCTGCAGTTCCCAGCAAGCTGCACTGAAGGCTGAGGGCATCAGAAGATGCCAGGATGACTCCAAGTTGGGTGAGGGGCTTTTTTCTCGCTTCTGACTTTCTTCCTCATGTTACCACCAGCACAGGTAGGTGAGCTGCTGCAGGAGGAGGTGCAGAGCAATCTTGGCTTTGCAGATGAAGCTCTGTGATTCTGGTCCCTGGTTTTGGGGTGAATCGTGCTGTGGGCAGCATCATGGGGGCAGGGAGCGTGCTGCTGCTCCTTGCTGCTGTTTGGGGTTGCTCGAAGTCCTGGGATGTGTAGGGAGCTGCTGTCCTACAGACTGAGCCTTTGGATGGAAACAGGGTAAGTACTGACAGCAGCAGCTGTGAGTCTTTCATGTATCCCCTGCTGCTTCAGGCTGGCACAGCAGCCAGCATTGCCTGTAGCTTCCACACAGAGTCCTGGTTTGCTTCTGGTTAAAGCTGAGATTTCTGAGCACCCACATCCTTCCTCCCCTGACTTTTGTGTTTCTTTCAGTCACTTTGCTAACACGACAAAGCCTGCAGGCACTGGCAGAGCTGGGCTGTAGCCAGCTAAGGTAGAGCTCAGCAACGCAGAGCAAGTGACACTCAGTTATCCACTGTGCAGATCCCACCTGAGCAGAGGGTGTCACACCATCACAGTGCTCACTCCCAATCTCTTGACCCAAATTGCAGGCAGCATTCAAGCTCTTCAAAGGCCATTTGAAAGCACCATCAAAGCTAGCATGCTTTCCTTTAAGTGTGTTGTTACCTGAAACATGCAGTACATCTGTCAGAAGAGCAGCAGCTCAGCATCCTGAGGTTTTGCACAGATGGGCTCTGGGGTGGATGGGTTCACACATGGGTCAATGTTTTCAGGCAGCCACACTTGAAACTCAGTGTTTGATCGTAGACTGTGACTTGTAGCTCCAGTGCTGAGTTTGTGTGTTCAAGGCAGCGGCTTAATGGTGTGAGAGCTGCTTCAAAAGCAAACTGAAAGCAGGCTCTTACAGGAAATGAAGTGAGCTGTGTGTTTTTGTGACTAATTATAGCCCTTGACATCAGCCCGTGTGTACGTTTAGCACATAGGATTACGTAATCCAGCGGGGCTTCCTGGAAAAGAGCAAATTTACAAAAGGCTTTGGGGGATTATGCCAGAGCTTCAACTCTTGTGTTTTCAGCAGCAGCCAAAACCTTTGTTGGTTGGGTTTCTTTTGAAATTCCAGCTGACTTCAGTGTGTCTGTGCAGGAAGCGTGAAGCCCACGCATCGCATTGCTGTGCTCTGTGCTTTCTAACTTTGGGGGCTGGGATGGTGCTGGTGGCTGCCGAAGTGCAGCGTGAGGAGGGGGAGCCTTTCCTCCCCCTGTGGGCAGTAAAGGGGGGTGGGGGGGTGTGGGAAAATGAGGAATCTTCTCTGGAAGTGAGAAAAAGGAGTGTTTGGGTGGTGTTGGAGTGAAAACACGAGCAGTGTTTTCAAGGAACTGCTCCAGCGTGGTTTGAATGTTGCTTTTCTGAATGAGTTCCTCTCTGCTGCGTGGTGATTTCCCGAAAGCAGCTGTGTAGAATGTAGTGATACTGATTTGTGGCAGGAAGATTTATGCTGCGATGAGTGGAGCTGCAAGCAGATGTGATGACTTGAGCTTTGGGCAGGAATCTCTCCCAGGTGATACGAGGAGAGCAAAATGTTGCTCCCAGAGCCAGCTCTGCTGCTGATGGGCATGCAGGCAGCATCTTCCTTCTTTAAGGTCTGCTCCTTATGTCTCGCAGGGGCAGAAAGAATCTGCAGACATCTGGTGTTGTGGGGTCTCATACATCTTCCTCCCCAAATGGGGAGCTCTTTGTGACTCAGGGTGATGTGTAGTGTTTCCAGTTTTTGCAGTACTGGTGATCCCAGCACTTTGTTCTTGCAAGCAGGTGATGTGAGGACTGTTCTTCAGCTCCAGGCTGCCGCTTCAGTATTGCTGCAGAGAAAACAGAGCAGGGCTGACCTCCCTGCAGTGGGGACAGAGCCATCCCATCCCACTCCTGAAGAAGGGGGTGGGTTTATTCTGACAGCAGTGTTGGTGCTGTGAGTGACACCGTCACACTTCAAAGCACTGATGGTGTGGATTTTGCTGAGAGCTCCCAAGTGACCGACAGAAGTGAGGGCAGGAAGCAGGGAGAAAGTGCTCTGATGTTGAACTGAGAGACAGCACAGATCCCAAGGAATGGTTGCAGCCCCCCACAGATGGTGTAACCCCACTCCCCCCGGGCTCCTGGCCCTCCAGTAGCTCTCGGTTACTTTAACCCTTCCAGGCTCCGGACGGTGCAGTTGGGAACTTGGCCGCCCCAGCTTCCAGCGCCGCCTCTCCTGGCAATCTGCTGTCTCAGATGGATCTCAGCAAAGCCCAGGCTGGTGCAGAGATGGCTCCCACCGACCCCGCAGCAGCACCCCTAGGTGAGGCTCACGGCCGTGGCGGGGCGCGGGCAGCCAGGGGTCTGCTGGGAGCCATGCCTGCAGGGCGGTGTGTGGAGTCACACTGGAGAAGTGCTGCCCCAACCCTACTTCTTTTTAAGACTTTTTATTATTTTTATTTTTTCCTTTTTTTTTCTTTTTTTTCCCCTCCTTTAAGTTAGGTCCCTCGTGGCTTCTGTGCACAAGTACATGGAGTTCTGATTTGTCAACTGCTGCCTTGAGCCAAAGTGTAAAGTGTCAGCCCAAAGGGATTATTACAGTTTTTAGGACCCCCACCACATGCTGACAGCACTCTCCCTGCTGCCTACACTTATTTCCCTTCCTTAGGGAGAGCAGAACCATCCGATTACACCTAAATAAACATTGCAGAACCATCTTCCAGCTAGCAGCCTCAGACTTAAAAAAGAATGAAATAAAATCCTGTACAAAAAAGCCCCCCTCCTGCCAATCCTATGGTTCTGTTTCCCTCTGCCCTACTGCTTTGCAGCTCTGCTGAGAAGATGAGCAGGTCTGTGGCACTCAGACCAGATCTGGTGGAATGAGGATGGGTGGAGCTGTGCCAGCTTCCCATAGGGCAAATGAAATAGCTCTAGGTGGTGTTGATGTGTGGGATACTTTACTGTGCTGTTGGCTTTCCTTGCAGGCATTAGACCCAGCTGTAACTCTAATCAGCACTGACCCCCCCACACACAATCCCTGCTGTTTTTCCCTCAGGACTCAACAGGGAGTTGTAGAAGTGCTGGGCTTAATTCTTCTGTGTTTTGTTTTCTTTGTCCTCGCTATTTGTGATAACCAGTGGATGATGTCAGATCTGTGGAGAACTTCTGGAGCTTCAGGCTGGCTCTGAGTTCAGCAGAAGGACCAGTCTGTAGTGAAGCTGCTGGAGCAGCAGCATGAACTTGAGTGTCGGCATGGAAGATTTCTCCAAGCTCTCTGTTTCATGGTTATTTCAGATGCCTGCCAGCGTCACTATGTCACTGTGCTGCTTCCTCAGCCTGCTTAGGAGTGCTTAGTCTCATATTCCTGCTGTTCTTCTGGCCCCTCCAGGATGGTGGGATGTCCCACCTCTGTTAAACAGCTGCTCCTCAGCCTTCGCTCTGTGTTCTCTGTGTTTGAGCCTGGTGTTTTCTTTTGGAGAGGTTGGCTCTGTGCTGGTGGTGATTGTGGCACACCCTGGTGAGCAGAGAGGCATGGTTACACATCTCTGATACCAGCTGGGGTGAACCATGGGCTGTTCCAGGTTGGGATCTTTAATCATTAGCAGGTCTATGGGCTTTTCCCAGTGTTTTGAGCACATCTAACCCTGGTGATTAGGTTTCAGTGAAGTCTCCTTCCCCTGGGCTGTGGTTATTGGAGATGTGACTGAGGAGCAGGCTTAGATGAAGGAGCCACCATGTGCAAACTCTGCTGTTGCCTCAGAGCATGCAGGGCTTTGCTCCACAAAGCATGATGGCTTTTTGGTGCTGTTGGGGTGGAGTGTGACGAGCATCTGAGCACCTGCAGAAGCATCTGCCTTCACTGCTGCTGAGACAGAGCTGGAGATGCCTGAGCTGTGCGAGAGCCTGGAGGGTGGGATGGAGGAGAGTACTTGGCCAAGGAAGAGCTCCAGGGTCCTGGTCCCGTGGGAAGGGACCATCATGGGGAGAGTGTGAGATACTGAAGGGGGAGAGGATTCTTGGAGTGATCTGAAGGGTCTACAAAGGGAGCTGGCAGGTTTGGGGTTCCTTCACCATGCTCTGTGACAGTGCTGGGGTTTGTTTTGGAGTCATTCTGAAGACAAAATGAGACAAAGGGGTTTCCAAAAGTACAGCCTGAAACCCTGCAACTCTGCTGCCTGGGCTGCAGTCCAGGGTGGGCACCCTGCCCCCACAGCTGCTGACCACGCTCTTCCCTTCTCTGCAGTGACCACGACCAGCCCCATGAAGACCCTGTACGTCATGTCAGACGCCAGGCTGTCTGCGCTGACCAAGTCTGTGATGGATGAGGCTACCTCAGTCCCCCTCAAACTGCCGGGCATCCAACCTTCCTCCTCCTCCACCAGCTCTCCTGTTGGCCCCGTCACCTTCGCCACCTCCCCACTGGCTGGTGCTCCCAGTCCTCCCAGCAGCCTGGTGCACTCCAAAGTGGGACCCATCCTGCAGACTGCTTCCAAAACAGTCATTCTCACCTCAACGCTGGCCACCATGAAGGCTGACGGGTCCCTTGGACACATTGGGGACAAGGTCAGTCTGACCAGGAGCACCTCAGCCCTCAGCCACACTCTGGGAGTGATGGAGACCCTGGGGAGAGTCCCCTCTGTGGTGGATGATGGAAGCACCCTCCTCCATGCCAGAGAGACCCTGGCAAACAGACACTTGCTGCCCCAAAGCGTGTTGCCAGGAGGGGCTGGTGCTGCACTCCTGACACTGAGCAGCTCCTCTGTTATCACCACAGCAGGGCCTGTGCTCAGCCAGAAGCCATAGGGACCTGGGGGACCCTCAGCGTGGCTGTAGGGTGGGAGGGGTGGCGGGGGGGCAGCCCTGTGCTGATGGGGCTGATTTGGGCTCTAGCAAACTTTCTGGTTTTGTTGTTGTTTAATAAATCTTTTTTTTTTTTTTTTTTTAATATATACGTTTTCTTCTCTGACTTCATTGTACCTGGCTCTCCCAAAAGCTGCTCCTTCGGCAGCCGCACCGTGGGCTTGTTAGATGCTCTGAGTGTTTGGATGAGCCCGGGTTTGTTGGTCTGATTTCTCTCGCCTTGAGTGCATGGACAGACAAAGAAGCATTGTGCAGGCAGGGAAAAATGAGTGCTGTGGGTCCTGGGAGCAGCAGTGAGGGAAGCTCCTCCTGCTAGTGTTGTTCCACTGGAATGTCCCTCTGGTTTTCTGCTTCTGAGAATATTTGAACTTGTTGAAAAAAAATCTGAGGGTGCAGAGCAGATATAACCTTTACAGTCATGTATGATGGAGCATGAAGCATCATCAACAAGCATGGGGTAGCACTAGCCTGAAACAGGGGAAGCAGTTAGCTTCCACAGAGCCTCAAAATGGAGTCCCAGGGCGATGAGATGAAGCTGATTTTGGCAGTATTGAGTGGTTTCCTAGGATCTGCATCTTACAGGGCTTCAGGACCAGGACTGTCACTGGGGTTGCTTTCACAGGACAGAGCTGAGAGTTGTGATTTGCTGCTTTTATTTCTGTGATTGCTGGGGTTAATCTCAATGCCCTGCGTGTTGCTGTCCCATGTTGTGGCTCTGCTGTACCCTGAGCCCTCAACACCCTCTTCCCTGGAGGGATGAGGGGCACGAAGTTGTGTTTGTTGTCCAAGACTCATTCAGGGAGTGTGGATCTCTGTGGATGGAGATCTGTGGTGCCAGGGGAGGCTCACACTCCCCACTCTGACAGCAGGCACATTTCTAATATCTCTGCTCACTTCCTCATCCTGCTGGCTCGTGAGAAGATCCTATTGTCAGCTCTTCCAACCACCACAGCAGAGGAAATGTGATTGTTATGGAGAGCCTGGAAAACAGAGCAGGGGAATAACCATTTCCCCCTTTGGCTGTTTGTTCATCGAGAGATGCCATCCATCCCTTCCCACCCTTCCTGGATTGTACACCTGCCAGCTCCAGATGCTGCCCAGCTTTTGGGGGACTCGCTGTGACCTCACACTCACCACTGCCTCCTGCATTGGGCTTCATACCATCCTGATGGTGAGTAGTGGACTTTTGAGGGTGCTGAGCAATGCTCTTGAGCTCTGCCCTTTCCCTGGAGCAGTATCCCAAGCCCTGCTGAGCCCAGATACTCTCTCTCTTTTTTTTCCTGGGGTTCTGTGGGAAAGTTAGCAAAGATTTGACTTTGCCAGCCACCCAGTTTCAGCTTCATGACCCCAATGACAGCAGGGCAGTCCAGCAGCTCAGGGCAGCCCTGCGGCTCTGCTCCTTTGCCAGGATGCAGAACTGAACCAGGTCGGAGGTGTGAGACCAGCTGTCCTCCTGCCAATATATACTGCAGAATTGATATTTCTGCATCTGGGCTACGTTCAGACTAAAAAGAGGTACAGATAACAGACTGAAGGATCTGGCCTTCTGCTGGGTGACAACCACCTGCATGACCTGTTCCTACTTTCTTTGTTTTCCCCAGGTGGCATTGTGCTTCCCAAGGAGGGTGTGGACCTTTCTGATGGGATTGAGCAGCAAGGAATTGACCAGGTCTCAGCTTCCTTCCTGCCCTGCACCTGAGTGAAGTACACTGCAACCTGCTCAGGAGGTAAGAGGTGGCTGTGTGTCTAGCTTTGCCAGCTTGCACTGTGGAAGGGAGCAGATCAGGGAAAGACACAGCCTGGGTGAGCTTAAGCTTTACTCTAGCATCTGAGGGAGCTATGGACATCAGTGTGTGCCTGGCTCATAAAGGTGAGGGTCAACTGTTGATGTTCAGTGTTCTTAAGCAGCCCAGTTTTATCTCCTAGGTGTGTAGTTACAATTTCTCTGTAAGGCTGAGATACCTTAGATTGTGGCATCTCCCATTTTGCTCTCACACCCTTACTCACAGTCTCTGAGGGACAACTTGAGCCCTTTGACCGCATCCTCACTCACAAACTGGTGTCACTTGTATGCATTTTAGTGGCAGGGCTCTTGGGGCACAACGTGCCAGGACACTGCAGCACATTTAATCCCTTTCTGATGTCCACACTGGAAGGTGCAGAACTGGGTGGGTCTGTGATGCTTTATAAAGCTGGTCTGACCTATTTCAGCAGCAGTGAGAACTCTTCTCACCAAGTCTAACCCTTAAAGCACCTTAGAGTGCTAAGTGGGGATAATTCTCTTTTTCTTCTTTTTTTCCCAATTCCTTTCCTTTCCATGGAAACAGCAGAAGTGGTCCTTCAAAGCTGATATATTGTTGCTGCTGTTTCTTCATGCTTTTTGGGGATGAGCATCTCTTTGCCCCTAACAGCTCATAGCAGGGTGCCCAGGACACCCACAGTTGTGGGGAGCAACTGGCACAAGAGAAATAAATCCTGAGGCTGCAGCAACGGCTTTGGGTCATTTGCAGTGGCTCAGTGGGAGTTTGCAGAGGCAAAAAGCAGCTGGAGATGTGTTCTACAGTTCTGTGATGGTTTGCAGATTCCTCAGGAGTTGTCCTGGGTCATCTGGCTGCCACCAAGAGCGCTGCTCTTCTCTCCACCAGATCACATCCCAGGTGCTGTCTGTCCATCCAGAGCCAGGAGGCTTCTCCATGCCATCTCTGCACTGTGCTCTCAGCCTGTGGCACCCACACTTGGACACGTGGATGTTCCAGGTAACAGCTGTGAACCCCTGAGGCTGGGAAAAAGGTGCCAGAAACAATGCAGAAGAAAAACAGGTAGGTCTCAGCTTGCTCCCTGGTCAGGAAGCATCCTGCTAGGGTGAGGCTGGCTTCCCCAACAACCTAGCCTTAATCCCAGGAATCAAGCACACCCCAAACACCACCAGCTGGGACCATCCAGTGAGGTTTATTTTGCATGCTGCCCTCCAGCACCCATTTTGGAAGAGCCAGCGTGCTGCCCTCCTGAGCCCCTTATAACCTTAGGAGCTCCTGCTATAAGGCAACATACTTCAGAACTAAAATGGCAGTGTTTTGTAGGAGGAAGCAAGGGCTGTGTGCAGGGAGCTGCAGGGCAGCTTTGACACAGCATGGCAAGGTGGGAACATCCATTGTGTTGGCTACACAAAACTGCATGGGGACACAGCATCTCTAGCAAGAAAACCTCTGCAACTCATTTGCTCCCTTTTTTTTTTTTTTTTTATATATATAATATATATATATAACCTTGTGATATTGGTAGTTAATCTCCCAGAGTATGATGTCAGATACAAACATCTCTAAGACCAAGAGTAAAAATGACACGGTCCAGCTCATCTCTGCCACGAGACACAGCAGCTCTGATGGCATCCAGGTGCTGCTTTGCCTCTCTGCGAGGCTGGAGCTGATCCAGAGCAGGACAGCAGCCCTACAGCTTGGTGTTACGGTGGAAAGCAGAGGTGTGTGGGGTGCTGTAGGTGTGCTGGCTGTGCCAAGTCGCTGTGGGGTAGAGCCGGTGCTGCAGTGAGCCCTCGTAGGACGTCGGGTAGTGCCTGGGGTCAGAGGGCTGCACAGAGGTGGCTATCACAGGGCTGGGGAAAGCAGGGATGATGAAGGGGTTGATGGAGAGAGATGGCACTGGTGGGGCTGCCTGGTTTTTCAGGTGCTCCAGAGGGTTGCTGAAGTTCACCGGGAAGCGCAGCATCGCTCCCTTGTAAACATCCGGGGCTTGAGGCACTGAGGTGAGTGGAGCGGTGTAGCCGGGTCCGGGAATGATGGCTTTGGGTTTGGCCAAGCCTTGGTGGCTCCTGGGCGAGCCAGCGCCCTTGTCCCTGCCTTCAGTTTCATGGAGAAAGGGGGAAACAACCTGCAGCTTCCTGCTGGGGCCCAAAGCCTCCTCGTCCCGGCTCCGTTTGGCTGTGGGTGGTGTGGGGCTCTGTGTCAGTGGGGCAAAGCCGGCCCCAGGGGGCACCCAGCAGGCTTTGACGAAGGCGGCCGGCTGCGGGCTCTCCCTGCTCCATGCTTTGCTCCGCAGGTCTTGGGGCTGCTCCCGGCCAGCCTCCGTGTCCTCAGGTTGTGGTTCCAAGAAATCCTTCAAGTTGGAGAAATATCCCCCAAAGGGGTGGCAGCTGATGGGTTTCAGCACCTCGTTGCGATACGCGTGGAAGAAGCCGGTGAAGACAGCGGGCGCAGGGCCGCCGTCCTCAGCTCTTGGGTAAGGCTGTCTGTCTGTCCTCCCAGGGGATGCACTGGGGATGGGTCCTGCCTCGCTCTGGCCTCCCCGGGGTGTGTCCTTTAATCCTTTTGTCTCCGGGCTCCTCTGCTCCTTGAGGTGGGGGCTGACAGCTGGCTGGCTGGGCTCTGGGTTGGGGTGAGCATTGCTCGCCACCTCCCTGCCCTCCAGGCAGTGGCGTTTGAGGCAGTGCAAGGACTCTGCCTTGCTCACCTGGGCCAGCAGCTTCTTTTTGGCTAGCGGAGACATGATGGGGTGGTTGCCTTTGGAGTAAAAGCTGGAGAAGAGGCGTTTGTAGGCTTCAGCGTGGGCTCGGCAGGTGCTGGGACACCCTGCAGAAGGGCTCGGGGCCGTGGCCGTGGGGCTGGTGCGTCCCTCTGCTGGCTTGCCTTGCTCCTGGGCCTCTGTTGGGTCCTCCTTGCTGGCTCTAGGAGTGGCTGCCACTTCAGGCTTTGCCTTCTCTGGTGCCACCTGCAACCAAAAGCCAATTTGGGGTGTGGGTGCTAGGCTGAGTTATGCACCCATCCCGTCCCCCTTCCTCCCCCTCCAGAGGCTCAGTTCTCCGCTCTTGCCCTCACCCTCCCCAGAACTCCACAGCCACGTGCCCAGGATGGGGATGGATGGAGGAAGGCACAGGAACTGGGGTCATTCCCAAGCTTCACCCCATGGCCACTCACCTGCTCCCGACCCTTCTCCTTCTTGCTCCTCCTGCTCTTCTCACCCATCTCAGTGCCCTTGGAGACCTTGTACTGCTTGCGGGGTTTGCTGGGAGGCAGCGGCTTGTCGTCCTCACCCTTCAGGTGCC